AGGAATAGGAACAGATGTTTTTGTAGTCATTTAAAAGCTAAATCAACGAATAATTCGAATAAGAATTTGTATTACGAATAGGAACTCTAAACATACAAATTTTTGTGATGAATCTATACTTTTGGAAATTGCGGAGAAAGGAAAATCCTACATATTATGCATTGCCACAGAATCAAGGTGAGGTTCACTTCAAGAATTTACTTTGACTCAAAAAACAGCATTGATAAGTTAAACTTTATACCCGTGTGCTTTGCAATAATTGTCTTGTACATGGTACAGTATATTTTATTTCTAAACATAAATTAATGACTCATATTTTAATGAATAAATTTATCTGAATTGAAATTTTGTTTTATCCCAACAAAAAATCATCCAACACAAAAAAATATACACGTGACGTTATAATTAGATTGCACAAGATATCTCAAGGCAAATGAGATAAAACAATTAATTTAAATCTTGAGAGTATTACTTGTTGAATTTTATACTAAAAATACAATGAATATAATTAAGCATTGAAGAATGGGTAGAATTCAAAAAAAAAAGAATTAAAGAATAAACAAAGTAGACAAGTTAATCCGATTGTCTCGGCATCATGAATAGATTTAAAATAATCGGCCTACCTATCTATGCAAAAATAACACATCCAATGCTTATTATCAAAATTCATAGTTGGTACCAATAGATATTTTTCCAAGCTTTAATGCTTTCAATCTGTGTATACTTTTATTGAATTTTGAATTTAGATATAGTTTATTATTTTATTATTATTAAATTTATTCAAAATATAAAAAAATTCTAAATTATAAAATTAAATTGTTAATTAAATTAACCCCCCAACTTAATTGTTATTAAAAATAAAGTAAATCTTGAAAATAAAAAAATAAATTTTTTTTTTATTTTTTACAACTTATAAATGTACAAGGTTATGAATTAATTAATTAATTTTTATTATTAAAATGTTATTTTTAAATGACTTAAAGGCATAGATTGCTACCAATCTATAATCAATATAATCATTATTTGTTACCAATCATAATCAGGCCTTTCTTTCTACAGAACGTACTGTTGGATACATTTGTAATCCTGCAATTTCCGGATTAAGATTAACTGGCCGTGCTTTCCTTAACAATAATATACGTAAACTAGCATACATCTGCCACTAATACCAGTGAAACTGGAATTGAATTGAAAAATGATAATGGAGATATCATCACTAATAACGATAAACCAGAGTCACCTAATAAAAGAACATCGACACAAGTAATTAGAGAAGTACAAGAAGATGGGAGCATAATAGAAAAGACTGTGGTAACTGTAATTGAACAAAATAGTGAAGAAAGAGATGAAGAGAGAGGCGAAGAAAAATATGAAGAAAGAAATGAAGAAAAATATGAAGAAAAATATGAAAAAAGTGAACCTATCATTACTACCACAACCACCACATCTGCTACTGATAATAGTCTTAGTGACACCACTAAAACCGGAACTGAATTAAAAAGTGACAATGGTGATGATAATGCAATTATTAATGATGATGATTATTCGGAAAAAAAGATTGAAAAAATTGACAGTACCGCCACCGCTACTAATAATGATAATATTAGTAATGATCCAGAAAAAAACAAAGTATTGGCAGAAACCCCCACGCATCATCAAAGAATTCAATTTGAAGAAAGAGAAAAACCAGATCGTATTACTCCAACTGACCAAAATGACAATATTACAACCGATCCAACAATACAATCTTCGTCTGATGCTGCTACTAATAATAAATCCAAAGAAATTCCTGACGTAGATTCTCCAAAAAAGAAGCATATGGATATTGTAAGTAATCAATCAATCAATTGATTGATTTTTTTCAAATTAACATTCAACAATTATTTATATTTTTTTATTTTTTATATTTTTATTAGGATGAACATATGTTAAACCCTAATGAAGTTTCCAAACGTTACTCTGTTAACATCAATG